CATGAAAGGAGCCACCCCATCGCCCAGAAAGGAAACATGAAGGGCACCCAATTATGAAGGGAGCCTAATGAGAGCCCACCCCGTCGCCGCGGCCCACCCATCCGACCAGGAAGCCCAGAAAGGAAACATGAAGGGAGATCTTTGCCCGCACGCCTTCTGCTGCACTACGCAGGGTTTGCTGATCTATGTGTGGAGCCCAAGGTGTTCTCTGAGGTCAGCGGTCCTCCAGTTCTCTGGGAAATGTACCACCATGAAGCCCGGAAAGGAAACATGAAGGGAGCCCAATGGAACCATCTTGTCGCCGCGGCCCACCCGTCGGAAACATGAAGGGAGCCCAATGGGAGCCCAGCTTCGTCGCCGCGGCCCACCCATGCAGCCTTTGTTTCTGAGGAGAGAACCCCAAACTGTACCTGTTTGGGGAACAAGTTGAAAAGACAGTAAAGAAAGAGACAGTACGCTCTAATCCCCCGCCCCCTCATCCCCGCCCCCCACTCCACTCCACCCTACCCCGCCCCTCCCCCCCCCCGGCCCCCCGATCCAAAAACAAAGATGAAGACCTACCTCTGGGATCTCCAGCATGGAACAGATTTGGAAGATGCGGTCTTCGGACCTCAGTTCACAAATTCAGGCGGCGCAATAGAGAAGTAGTATAGAAGCCGGAACAATTATCAGCATTATTCCTTAGGGGTCCTTACTATCAGTATAGTATTATATACTCCAAGTCTCCAAGTCCTTACTCTAATCATTAAGGCACCTTTGTTACAGTAACTGTAGTTATTCAGCACCCCCCAGAGAGTCGGGCTAGCATTTTGGGCGTCGGGTTTTGATGTTTAGGGGCCAAGGACAGTTCTCTTATCTTCTGAACTGTTGTGAACCGCTTGAAAACTGAAGGCTCCAGCCAAGCCACGAAAACTGAAGGCTTCGGCAAATGAGATTCCAGGACATCCCGCAGGTACCCTATCCGCGTAGCACAGCTTCAGACTTCGAAATTCCACAGACAAGCGGCGCATCTGGGTCGTTCGCCTTGACTCCAAAAGTCAAGTTGTCGAAAAGCCTCGGCTCGAAACACACAGCATGTGGGCAAGCCAGCACCCCAAATGGACTGCACTCTGTTCCGCATTCAGGAGCTGTTCCAAACCTGTGCTGCTACCCCCAATCATGTGCTGCCCCTCCTGCTACTACTACAACGACAACTACTTCTGATGCTGCTGCTCCTGCTGCCGCTCGTGCTGCTGTTGCTGCTGCAGCTTCCGCTGAAACCAAGTCTGGCAGTGTTTACGCTGATGCTGATGCTGATGCTGCTGCAGCACGCCACCGCCACTGCGACTGCTGCTGCTACCATTATAGCTACTGCTCCTGCGTCTGCTACTGACACTGTGAGGTTGACGAGACCAGAAAGTAGCATGATCAGGTCCAGAGCAAAAGCCACGATCCTCGACTTGACCGTGGCTTCCAACTTTTCTTGCCTACTGACTCTTCGCCCCTGACAGGTTGCAATGACCTGCAAGCCCCCGCGGCTTGGGCCGCCGACCGCAACCCAGACATCCAAACCCGGCGCCCATGCCGAGCCAAGCACCCTTTGAACCGAACCAGGGAATCGGTCGAAGAGCTGTGTTCAAGCAAAGGACACGACATCATCTACACAATTCTCCAGCAAGGGACGATCCTCGAGAGAACATGGGCTCCGAGTCTATGTGCAGCACCCTGAGGTGGGACGGGATGAAGATGCTCTCCTGAGCACCGCAAGGGCCCATGTCGTCTTACGTCCAAGAGCATTCCAAAAGCCTTGACAAGGCACAAGCATCCTCATCCCTCAGCCCCAAACCAGGACGGTCCCTGTGCACGATCTCTGTAGCACGAGACCGCAAAGCCTGTCACATGCGAAGCATGTCGCATGCGACCACGTGGCTCTAAGTCTGTGCTTCCGCAGGCTCTAACTCTATTTCATCCTTCACGAATGGCGAACCCTGCCCAACTCCCCAAGCCAAAACTCCTTGTCCACAGTCTTCTAATCTCAAAGCTGTCACTAAACCTTGATCCCGAAAACCTAGCTTTCACTGCACGACTTCCAGGGACCCTCAGTCACCAAGGGTCCAAGTTGTCCGGCAGGATCGCGCCACCTAACGCTCTGAGCCTGCGCAGTAGTTCTGAGGGTGGAAAATGTGGTGCCATAACATGAGACGAACAGGAAGGCCGATTAAGAATACAGGTTCGAAGGACAGCACAAACGGCAATTGCCATGCATTCAAGAAAAAAACCTGCAAAGGAAAAGAGCAAACAATGAAGTTGCGTCGGCGTCGCTGCCTGCCCGTCTCGATCAGACTAGGGCACCTTTTTTTGTAATGGTCACCGACTCACACTCACTACGCCGCGTGATCGCTTTTCAGCCGAACATCCGACTGTCCGCCATTAGCCCCTATCTATGCCCTCCGAACCCTACCAAGTAAAACCGATCTATCCATGCCCTGCCGGCTGGCACCTCGAAGCTTTACCTCCATTTGTCTGACCGATGAGGATGACCATCCTCGGAGGTTTTAGCCCTTGGGGTCGTAGGGTCAAGGTGCTGGAAATTGAAGTTTCGGGTTCGGGGCTTAGGTGCTTCGATTTGAGGTAATGTGGCCATTCTACTGGACGCAATACACTGCCAGCTTTCGTAATTACCAACCTCCCTGTGCACAAAAAACCTCAGCGAAGTCACACACGACGAAATTTAAAGGCATCCTTATGTTCCTTATGACCTGCATCCTGCGTACAATGCTTGTTCTGCCCACCGCCCGCACTACCATCGAGTTTATTGTCACGATCACGGGTGAAATGCTCAACACCAACTATTTCATGAAGCTCGAGGGGATTGAGCCCCGAATCCCATATGGCCTCGAGTCTCGACCTTATACTCCCTTTGTGCATCTATTGAAACCCTGGGCCATGTGCAGATCTGAGAGACTACATAACTCTCGAACACTCAACCCCAAACCCTAAACGGTCCGAAACCAAACCAAAAGCCCTAAATCAAAAACCCTGAATCACTGAACCAGGACTACAGAGCAGAGTCGAGACACGTGCCCTGTTCGATGCTCAGCAAGCCCTTGAAGAGGTGCGTCGTGCTATCACATCGAGCGACTCCTGCTCAGGGTTTAGGGTGCAGTCGTCATGACGGTGCTGATATTGCTACTGCTGTCATCGCTGCTGTCTTCGTCGCCATGACAAGACTCGTCGTCGGTGCTTGATTCTGAAGTGGATGAAACAGAAATAGCAAGAGTTGTGCTCTTTTGAGGTTTCTACGAAAAAGGACTAAGCATCCCCACCATTCATGCTTCGACGACGAGGATGTGTAACATGCTCTGTGTCACGACGGTCATGTTCGCACGAGCATGTAGCATGTTCTGTACCACGGCTGTCGTTTGCTTTATCCTCTTGTCTGGCTTTGGGGGTTTCAGGGTTTGGGGCTTCAAAACGTTTAAGGGGCACAGGATATCCCGGCTCACGACACAGAGCCGTTGCAGTCCATCTCTGATGGACTGTGCGACGTACGTGAGGCTGAGGCTCTGCAACCTCGGTGGTCGAACTTCTTGAGGATCTAGGTTTTAAGCACTCACAGGCAAGACTTTCTAAGATCTAGAGTTGAGGGCTTAGGGTTTCGGGCCCTGTCTCTGGTCGATCGAGCATGATCGATCTGCATGCTGAGCGATAAGGCCAGGTTGCGGGCAAGCTGTCCCAATCTGTCTCCAGGCTCTAAACCCGAAACCCTTAAGCCCGGACCCTAAGCACACACCCAAACGCAACCCAAAGCCCGCAACACCAAACTCCCAAACAAAACGCCTCAAACTCCATACATGAGGACTTGGACATCTGCAGCCAAGCATCGTGATGGGCAAAAGGTCCATTCGAACCTGACTGCCGCGCAAAAGCCCGAGTGGCACTGCTAGGGCTAGGAATGGCAGTTCTTTAGGGCTGAATATCTGGAAGAACTCGGGCTCGGCGTGCTAGTCTCGTGGCATTCCGGCAACTATACCTTCGTTCCTAAACTTTCACTGGGTTCAGGGTTTCTCGCTTCGGCCTAGGCTGGGGCATGAAGCTGACACAGCCGCTTCAAAGGGGATCCTACACCCTGTCCAGAGGCGCAAGGATCCGATTGGATATCGGGGTATCGTTTACCAGTCCGGTTTCATATGTGTTTGGGTGTCTGGCTTGCTTGCAACCCTGTTTGCGTGCTTCCCTGTGTCCGAAGACACCGGAAACAGGCTTCAAAATGCTTGAAAGGCTTGGGAAAAACATTCAAACGATATCACCACCCTGTACCTGCCCGGTCAACCTCAACTGCAGGCCACGCGACATCATCCGCCCGCTTCTTCTCCACGCGCTCCCGCATGTAGGCCGTGGTCTCACGCAGCCGATCCCTTCCATGATCAGGGATCAAACCATCCTTTCACACCTGGACTATGGTTTGATCCCAAACCCTAAACCCTATTCGAGATGCAGGCGCATCTGATTTCTCGCAGACAGCTGGCCCGAGTTTGGGTTTGGGACTTACTTGGTGTGGAGTTTCGGGTCTAGGACCACCAAAACCCCCCAAACCCTAAACCCCTGAAGCCCTCAACCCGAGCCCTACACTCTGCACCCTCGGCTCTCGGCTTAGAGTCTGGATCCGAGGCTCTGCAAGTTCTTCCGGTGGTGCAGGTCCGTGGGCAGATTCAGCAACACCTCCCCCAGTCAAGGCTAGGACTTTGGGGCCTTTGTGGGGTTTAGGGCTTCAGGGGTTTTATGGCTTCAGGGCTGTGGGGCTTTGTTTAGGGCTTCATGGTTTTAGGGCTTTAGCGTTTTAGGAGTTTCGGTGTTCAGGTTTCCTAGCGTATGCACATCTTGAAAATTTGAACGGCAAGCCCGAAGGACGTAAATTCTTGAGCAAAGCGGCCACGACCCTCATCAGCGCCGGCTCGATCGTCCTTACAAAGAAGTCCCAAGATGCACGGTTTGGGGCTGCAGGGGGGGTAAGGCTGAAAGGGTTTAGGGCCCAGTTGGATTCAGGCTCTGGTGAACCCGGGCCGAGGTTCTTGAGGTCGAGGTTCGAGACTTTCGCTTTGGAGATGGATTTCTTGGACTACGATCGCTATTCTCCTTTTTATTGCGACTAATCTTTTTACTATTACATAGTAATACTAGTTCTTGTAAGTACTACTTGGTATTATCCGTTCAAAAAACAACAGGTGCGGGTGTGGGGCTGCTTCGTGCTCGCTTTGCTACTCTTGCCAGCCAGGAAACTCCAGCTTCACAATCATGGTGTAGACTTGCTCCGTGATTTCCTCCATGGTCTGAAAGATTTGGATGTCGCACCTTGTTACCGAGTCACTCGGTTCTCTGAGCCCCGGAAAGGATCTTCCGTAGAGCCGCTTTTTATAACTCTACTGGCTCTAGCCGAACACAAGGCATCATAAACTTTCGGGCCGAAAGTCCTTCTTGTACTAGCCCTCTATAACTTCGATAACTCTAAAATTAAGCTAGACAACTGTACCAGAGTATTTGGTTTGGGGTTTGATCGTCCCTACATAATTTACATAACCATGCTGTAATATGGGCTTGCGGCTTGCGGTTCGCTGGTCCCTACGTGACTTACATAATTATGCGGATACGTAACTATACTGTACTATGTGTCTCTCCCTTCCAACTACCCAAAAGCTCGAGGCAATGACGTTACAAATGGAGCCTGGAACCCCAAACCCCAACTCACAGACACAGAACCCGCGACAATAAACCCCAAGACCCGTAACACCCAACCCCAACCCCATAAACCCATGCAATTCGCGACAGCAAAATGCACGAACGCCCAGCGACTAAGTGCACATGCAAGCAATTACTAATTACTACCTACTGGTAGCCAAGCCTGCATGCAGTTTCCTGCGCAACACATGCACTGGAACCGGCACACCAGGCTCAAATACTTGGCTTCAGATGGGTTTGGTCTTGGCCGTGGCAAGCTTTGGGGCGTTTTCGGAAGGATGGCCTGACAAGCCAATTGTCCAAACCAGGGTGCGGTTTTGGACTCCGCGACGCCCCTGTGGGGGATTTTTTGGTGGGTGCAGGTGGGATGGGATGGGATACAAACCGGATCGCAATGTATGTTTCAGACGCTGAAAACGTCATCCACTCGATGCTGTGCAAAAATGACAGAAAGCCTGGTGGGAAAGAGCTCACAAACCGGGCCGCAAAACCCTAACCAAAACCGCGAGCCCCAGACCACAAGACTTCACCAGGAGGCAGGAACAAGCCCAGGGAGAGCTCGCCGGAGATCACATGCATACCACCGAAGCCGATCCTGCAGCTTGGCATTTGGGTTTAGGGCTTAGGATTGGGTTTAGGGTTTGCGTAGTCGGACTTCGAGCTTTTGCTTGAGGCTTACAGCTTGTTTCGGATCTCCGGATTCTGCGAAGAGGCGGACCAGGGGCTGCCTCGTTCTTGCAGCTAAGGTTCGGGAGATGGAACTAGGCGTGTGAGCGCATGCTCTCCGAGACAACCGGCTGCTCAGCCACCACTAAACCCTACACCCTAAACCCATGGATGCACGGCAACAAACTATACAGCATACAAAGCTTTCGGGTCGACATGCACATGTCAATGTGAGCTGTGCAGGCAAAGCCTCGGATCCCAAAGCACCAATTGCACGCTACACCTGAGCCCCGACGTCCTGTTACGAGTAGACCATAGACACCCTAAGGAGCTAAACCTGGAGTCGGATGGCCGATATAGTTCCAGGGCTCTTCCACCCCTTAACTCCCGAATCTCTGAAGGCCGAAACAATATACAAGAGACCTCTACTTCCCTGCAACATGCCGGTTTAGGCATGGTGCCTAAATCGGAACCCGCAAAGTCAGCAAAGACACCAGAAGACGATCAGCAACTGACCTTGTGCGCACGGCTTCGAAGCGAGCCCGACAAGTCTGAAGGCTGAAACTGTGTACCGAACTCGGCTCGGAATGCCTCCCTCGAACCCGTTGCTAAGGCACAGTCAAAACCAAAATCAGACCCAATCCCGAATAAACTCCGCACCCCGAAACTTGCCTTTCCACTAGCTTCCGGCTTTCTGAGGCTACGGATGCACGCGACCGAAACCAACACCACCCTTGTACGAAAGCGGGGATTATTATTCCAGGCTGAGGATTTAAGAATATTCAACTCGAGGAGGAGGAGGAGGAGCAGGGGGTTTGGCGGGATTCGAGCCGTGGATCTAGGACCTTTCAACAAAGAAGCCCGAAGAGCTTTTCCCTGCAAAGACCCAAAGGCCTCGACAAATGAGAAAGCGAGGTTTAGGGTTTAGGGTTTAGGGTTTAGGGTTTAGGGTTTAGGGTTAGGGTTTAGAGCTTGGGACAATACTCCGAACCTTAACCTCACCCTAAAGCCTAAACCCAATCCCCAACGCACAATCTCGCTGCAAGTGGCTCAACCACTTGCAGAAGAACTGGTTGTTGAATAAGAGCTGCCCTGCAAGTGTAGGAAACCCGCATTTTTGCTTGGATTGGAAAAAAAGGGCTTAGGGTTGGGGGTTGAGGCCTTCGGGGTGAGGGTTCAGACTCAGGGCTTTAATGTTTAACTCATAGGCAGGAAGCTTCTGTCGCCTCTGTGCCGTGATTAAAACCCCCAACCTACGAGCCGGCCCAATTCCAAAATTCCTCGACCTTGAACCGCACAACACTCACGGACTCACACCTGAAAACTTCAAAGCGTCACTTCCAGAGGATGATCGGGTGACTCGCCAACCACTAAGTCCCAAGGCCCGAGAGACAATTGCATGCTTGTCTTCTTGTGTTATTCGTTTTCTGAAACAGCAGGAATTCCAGCAGTCCAGCATCCGGAGTCCAGGTCGTGGTACAACAGCAGAAACACAACACACAGCTCACTCAACCCGAAAAGAAGGAAAACTGATCCTCGTACCCACATCAGAACCTTCAGCAAGAACGTGTTGATGCATATTCTACTTTGCATGTCACATGTATGTGTCTACCTACGGATACATCGTTCGCTAGGTTAGTCCTGTGCGCATGTGCTTACACGGCCAGCTAGTCGAGTTGTACTGTGCCCGTGTACTTGGATAGTTATGTCTGTGTTGTTCTGTTTCCTTGTGGCAAAACATACACCACCTGTCGATGTTCCGCACACCTGTATGCACATGCACTCAACGAAGTATAATTGAACCGTAAGCAGCCGAAACCCAAACTAAGCCCTAAAATACTGCATCATGCATCGAAGCCGCTGTTTGTCACGAGGGACTCGACTGCTGCCCTTACTGCAAACCCGCAGTCTTAAACCCTAATACCATCTGCCGCTGAGCCCTAAAACCCCTCAGACCCTCACAACCTTGGCCCGAAAACCTAACCCTGAAGCAATAAACTCTTTTTCAGCACGGACTGAGGTGCCGGCCAGCGCCTACGCAACCCTCACCCCCACTTAAGGCAAGATTATGGCTCTAGACCTTAAACCCTAAACCCGAAGTCCGAAACCCATTACTCGTAACTTGAAACCCGAAACCCTAGGCCCTAAAACCGGGTCACGGCGTCAACCGTGACCGCGG